GTTAATCCACAAATAAGTTTCTTTTATTTGATAGAGTCAATTAGCAATTTTGGAGTATTAGGATGTCTATTTATGTTAGGGCTTATGACTATGAGATGTAGGATGTCATTACCTAGAATCCCTTCGTCCCTATGAATACCAATTCGGTAAATGGCGAGAAAACTCACAAAGATAGAAGTGAGCGGAGCTAATAAAAAAAAAAACTAGAAAATGCTCTCAACTCTCAAGCTTTTCCCCCACTCCATTCCCTTCATGGTTTGGCTACTGGCCGGCCGTCGGACCCCCTAACCTAATGCTGTTGATTGTTGCTCTATCTTCCAAACAATCAGTAGTCCCACACATTCTTGCAGCAAACCAAATAGTCCAGTCACAACCTTTTCATGGCTTCCTGCAAGCCATGCAAGCCTCACACTATCTGCCTCCATCGCCCAAGTCTTACAAAAAAATCTTTCTTTTCCATTGTGACAGGGGAAAAGCCTCCAGTGATCCCATCGAATCGTGATCCAACGATGTACCATTATCGGCCTGTTGCTGCTTTCTTCGAGGATGAGATAAACTTTCTAGCTCAACCTTTTAGACATTTGATCATTAGGAAGTTTTCTAGGATGCCTAAACTACAGGACATTTGATCAGCTTTTAAGGAGATTGGGTTATCCAAGGCTTATGAAATTAAATGGTCAAATTATAAGCATGTTTTGATTTATCTCTCGAATGAGCAGGATTTTAACATGATCTGGATAAAACAATTTGGTTTATAGCAAACCAGAAAATGCGAGTCTTTGATTAATCACCGTAGTTTGAGGCAGAGAAAGAATCATCTATGGTGCAGGTGTGGATTTCTTTCCCAAATTTCAAAGCTCACTCATATGTAAAATTTGCGTTACTCTTAATTGCTAAAGTGATCGGTAAACCCTTGTTTATAGAAGAAGCTATGGCAAATAGATCTTGGCCAAGCGTACCCCGGGTATGCATAGAATATAAAAAGAAGCCACCACTCGATCAAGTTTGGATCATGGTTAGAAATTGAGAGACAATGCTGTGACTGGCGGTTATGCTCAACATGTGGAGTTCTCAAAGAAGCTTGAGTATTGCAATCATTGCTGCCATAGGCCGTAACGAATCTACTTGTTTAGTTTTGGGGAATAATTATGCAAAACAGGGCCTTGTCCAGTCGAAAACTATTGGGATTTTTCAAGGCTTTTAGATGATCTCATACAGGCTCAGATTCGTGAGAATAAGGAAAATGATAGTGGTGAGAAATCGGGTGGAAAGCCACCGAATTCTACGGGAGAGAACAAGAAAGATGTGATGAAGGTAGTTCCACCAAAATAGAGCATTTGGTGGTAGGAGAATGGCAAATCAGGCAAAGCGGTTTTAAGAATTCAAAGGGTGTGAAAAATAGATTTAATACAATGCAATAACCCCCAAAAGCTATTTTCAAACAAATTTGATGTGCTTGGATCCGTGGGTGAGGAAAGATAGCAACAACATGTTGAACAAAGCACAATATAGGGGGTGACCAGTGCCTTAAAACCTAAAAAAATTAATATTTTACCCCAAGAGCCCAAATAGGTGATGGTTGGTTTTGAGTACAAGATACAGGTTGGAAAAGGTGCTTCCAGTGACGATTTCCTAATGCAGAAAGAGGTAGGCAATGGGCAAGTAAAGGATAGACATGACACAGAAGCTTCAGCTACCCCATGATCCTCGACTAAAGCAAGAGCTGTTGCAAGTTCTAAGAAGGCCAATGACACAGCTAGAAGTGTGTAATATACGGGAAAACATGACTATGTTCAATAGGTAGTAGACAATGCTCAGGTGGTCATGCTTTGAAAACAAAAGAAAAAGATAATTGAACAACAACCTGTGGTGTCCACTACTTTAGTAGCTAAGAGGGAAATAGTTGTTTGCCTCAAGGAAGCATCCAGAATGAGGTAAAGCTAATGCTGGTTGATTAGTTCAAAAATGTGGTAGTTAAGGAATTAAAAATTAGTGATGAGTGCTTTCCATCTCAGTCAGAACTAAGTGAGTATGCTTTGAGTAAGCAAAAAAGCTTTATCCTTTCACATGTAGGCACAAGCAGCAAGACTGTCTAAGATACAAGACTGACCATTCAAAATCATTCACCCATGTAGTCCCATGAAGCTTATGGCTCCATACAGCCCCATGCAGTCCTAGTGATGAGTTTTGAACTAGGCTCAAGTGCCTTGAATATTAAACTTCACCCGTCTATTTCTAGGTGCAAGAAGTTAGACAGTGAGATTTCTTATAGTCTAGAAACTTTAATTCCTCTGAACAATCTAAAAATAAGGCTAACGATAGAATACAAGATGTAGATTCTATCTCCATAAATTTGCCTGCTCAGATGTACCCATTATTGGCTCTTTAATCTAGAATGTTAGGGGGATAGTTGGTAAGGTTATTCAGAGATGCTTGAAAAAATTACAACTAATGCATAATCTTAAACTGTTGATTATCTTGGAGCCAAAGGTTGCTGAGGCTAAGATTGAATTTTTTAGACACAAACTAGGGTACGAAAAAGTGTTTGTTAGTATTAGCCTTACAAACCAATCTGTGGTTATATAGGAACTGCAATTTTGAGATATTCATGTATGACATTTTGTTATTCATAACATTCTTTAGTCATAAGTTTATAATTTAATTACTTTTTATACTTATGTAGATAATGCCTATGGAACTATATATGCTTTGCAAAGGAATTGCATTGGGATACAATGATGAGATCCTTATGCATCAAAGCATT